ACGGTCCAAATGCTTACTTGGTCAAGCGATTTGGGAGGGTCCGTGCCTTTTATCTCACGGGGTGGTGTCCATCCAGGCATGCAAGGATGGAGAAACCCCAAAGCTGTCTCCCAGCTGAGGGACGTTGTAGTAGACTTTCGCAGCCTCTGTCGAGTCAGCCTGCTGTCTCCAGGTTCCCTCTCAGACAGGGCTACTGGCAAAGTCGTGATCTGAGATCTCTCGGCCTTCCCATGCTCAAGTCCCCTCTCAGGGCCGTGCGTTTCGGGGGCTCACCTCTGTCTGTGGCTGTGTGGCTGTCTCCTGAGCAGGCCTCCTCTGCGCAGGCCTGAACCATGACAGATGCTGTCGGGGTTCTCTCAGAGGCCCCCTTTCCTGTTCTGCTACTGTTCTCTGCTAATACTATGTTGATTACTGCAATGCCGGCTTAGAAGCTTTGTCTTTGAATTGCTGCAAGTCTTTCTTAGACCTCCAAAATGCCACTTGCCGCTCTCAGTCTGGCATGGTGTTCTTTTTGAAAGGTGTGGGAAACGATTCCCTGTGATTTTCGCCGGAGAGTATTAGAGTGTCACGCTCAAACCCCAGGTCTCTCAAACACGTTTCTCCCCACTGACAATCAACCAATGGCTCGACGGATACACAGGCCTGAGACGTTTGGCTCTAGCCACCCTCCATGACCTGTGGGCCTGATCAGAAACCCTGTCCCTGCTTCCCAAGGGCTCAAGCTGAGGCAAGCCTTTCTCTTCCCTTAGGAATGTTAGAACCGGTATCTCAGGACCCGCCTCTCCCAAAGTTCCCTCCGCCACCCGCGGTAGTCAGTGGAAGCACATCCAGATGCTGAAGCACGTTCCGTAGAAATGCTGTCAACCTCCACCCGCCAGTTCTTGCTCCTGTTTCAGTTCAGCCAGATGTTTGGAGGAGATAGCCTTCCACTTTGGGGTGATTCGGGGATCTGGACTTCCTCCCTCTGCTGGTATCACTATCCTCTAGAGCCTTGATGTCTACCCCAGGGGTGAAGGGAGCGAGCCAGAGAGCAGAAGACCTCGCAGGAAACGTTGAAATCGTGACAGCGGCCTCAGCTTGTTCATCGGACACTCATCCAGCTGTGTGGCCAGAAAGGAGAGATGCATTTGATGAGGACCAGGCCCATCTCTGCCTCGCCAACTCACCCAGAAGGCCTGGGAGTCCTCATACGAGCAGGGCTCTTGGGGGTCTGCTCTCATGTCCCGATCGTTGGTTTTGTTGTTGTTGTTTTTCTTTTGGGGGTTGGAGTCGCACTCCAGGCTGGATTGCAGTGTGCGCTCACGGCGACCACAGCCTCACCCCACCGGGTCCAGGCGATCCTTCGGCTGCAGCCTTCCAAGGAGCCACACACCACCACACCTGGCAATTTTTTGATTTATTGTAGAGACGAAGTATCGCCAAGTTGCCCAGATTGGCCTCAAATCCCTGGGTTTAGGCAGTCCTCTCGCCTTTGCATCCCAAAGTGCTGGGATTACAAGTGTGAGTCTTCATGCCCGGCTATAGTCGGGTTTTTAACGTTATAATCTGTATGTGTCTACATATATGTTTATCAAATTTATTCTAAAATTTTTATCAAATACATACTTCCTAAACAATGCTTTAGGCAGTTGAAGAAGCTCATCAAAGTTATCCTGTTCACTACAGTTCTCGGTCCCATTGAGTTTTCACCAGCAGCTCAGTCCCTGTATCTCAGTGGTGTTTAAGCCTGTGTCTCTAGATGCCATGGGCACATTAGAGGCTCTCCAAGCTTAGGGGAGGCCCTGGTGTTTCAGTCTTCTACCGAAGGGTGGTCTTCACACATGCACTGAGTAGTGTGAGAAGGTGGTTGGTGACACGCTAGTGTGAGCTGTGGTCACTGCCAGTGGCATTGTCTCTTCGTACCCAAGATTGTGTTCTAACATGGACCATGAACTCGGGGCTCACTGTGGTGTGTGAGAAGCTAGATCCTGGCAATGCAGACTTCTCCTCCCAGGACCCCTTCTGCCATGAGAGAGGAGACTGCTGCTCACAGATCAATCTGGAAGAGACAGACTTTGCTCAGTGAAGCACCTTGGAGGAGAGGGGATGTCTTTATTCACCTTGGCATGGCACCTTGCACACAGCGGCTGCTCAATGAATGTGAACTGAAAGTGACCAGTATTTCTTAGGTGCATCAGATTAGGCTGGGGTTGAGGGTGGGAAGGCAAAAGATAGAGTGTACTGCAACCACTGGTGGGTCAAACATCCTGACGGCAAAATGCGGTAGAGTAAAAACTGCCTTGGGAGGTAGGCAGATCTGGGCTCAAATCCCACCTTGTCAGCTTACTTGCCGGGCAATCTTGAGCCAGGCTGTAAACTCTCTGGACCTCGGTATCCTTTCCGTATACAAGTGAAACGTGATACCTACCTCACATAGATATGAGCTAACAAAGGTACCCAGCTGTGCACTCTCTGTAGAGCACCTGGGAGCACATATTTGGGGCAGCACCCACATTCCTGGGGTCCACCCTAGGCGCCACCTTCAGATAGCTTCTGTTCACACCAGTGGCTTCCTGCCACTCTGCCTGCAGGCATTCTCTGGTTGCAGGACCAGGCTTGGCCTGTACATAAGACAGACTGAAAGTGCCAGGGAGTGAACCCCAACTGTGACCTCCAGCCAGTAGGGGACTTCCGCTTGCCCTCCCCTCAATATTCTAATTCTGAAGTGTACTTTAAGCTGCCCCTAAGCAGGGGTCCGGGGGACTGAGCCCCACTCTCCTGTTCATAAGTGCATTCGTCTTGAATTCCTTCCCTTCTCTGCCTTACCATCCCACTACCTCACCAAGTCTCCTGGGAGCGCTTCCCAAATGAACCACTTACTCGTACATGTTTGACTTACAGAGAATCCAAACAAGTAGAGTCAGGACATCAGTGACAGCTACTATTACTATTTTCTTTTTTTTTTTTTTTTTGAGTCGGAGTCTCAATCCGTTGCCCAGGCTGGAGTGCAATGGCACGCTTCCGACCACCGCAGCCTCGACCTGCCGGGCTCTGGAGATCCTTCCACCTCAGCCTTCCAAGTAGCTGGAACTACAGGCGTCTGCTACCACACCCTGCTACTTTTTTATTTATTGTAAAGATGAGGTCTCGCCAAGTTGGCCGGGTGGGTCTCGAACCCACGGGCTCAGGCAATCCGCTCGCCTCGGCCTCCCAAAGTGCTGGGATGACAGGCTGAGCCACCGAGCGCGGCCGACTGTTAATTTTCAAAGGGCATGGATGAAGGTAATTAATACAGGGAGATATCAAATATGACAGAAGAAAACAAAAAAAGAGATTGCTACCAGCTGAAGACATCTGGAAAAGCTTCAGGAAGGAGATTATGGGTAATATTTGATCTGGATGTTAATGGATGCAAAAGATTTGTGGATGAGGACGTGGGTCGGGGGCGGGCATTCCAGGGAGAGAACAGAGTTTTGTGTCTATTTCTTCAGTGAGTCGCACAAAAGCCACCTGTGAACCGGTGGGTGGACAGGCAAGTCGGGGGTCCACTCACTAGTCTCGTCTAGACCCAGAACTCCTCAGCCGGTGTGGCCCGGGTGTCATTCTCCTGTGCTCAGCACACTTCTATGCTTCTCAGTCTTTTCTTCTGATGCAGAGTTAGTACTTTCTGCCTCTGAACAGAGTGTGGTCTCGTGCTATGAGCCTGATATGTGTGCTTCTCCAAAATTCCTGTGTTGAAATCTTCACCCCTAAAGTCATGGTATTAGGAATTGGGGAGTTGGGAGGTGATTAGTCTGTGAAGACAGAACCTTCATACGTGGGATCAGAGTCCTCAAAAAAGGGGCCTGGGAGAGATGCGTTCCTTCTTCCACTGTCTGGGGATATAGTGAGAAGGTGCAGTCTATGAATCACCAGATACCAAATCTACCTTGAACTTGGACTCCCAGCCTCCAGAATTGTGGGAAGTAAATCTCTGGTTTTATGATATTTTGTTAGAGCAACCCAGATGGACTAAGAACAGCTTCTAGCCTCTTGTCATTTGTCATGGTCTCTACTTACTGTGCTTCCTACACAGTTGTCCATTGGAGGTCCCCAAGTGTCTTGAGTCTTCTGAGGGCACCTGTAAGGTTTCTGCTCGGTATTTCTCAGGAATGTCAGCTGACTCTTCTGCTTGTACCTGATAGAGTACCCTGGGGCTGTCACCTGCGAGTTTGAGACTTTAGACTCAGGCTGTGCTTCACTTATCTTACCTGATGACCGGCCGTCATTCAAGTGAATAAGCATGAGACATCTCAGCCTACCCAGAGGACACATGGATGAATGCTTTCCTGAGGAGAGAAAGGGGAACTCTGTCATTGCACCCTCTTAACTCTAGTTCAGTGACTGACAAGCCTTTTGAGTCGTGTAAAATCTTACAGAATGGAAATTCTACAGGCAAAGGCTGAAGCGCCCTCGATGGAGTGGTGGTTGGAAGCTCTGCCTGCTCAGACTCCACTCTGAGAAGCACAGTGTGAAACCATGACTTGAAGGAATGAGAAGAGGGAGGTGGAAGGAGAAAAGTTGGGCCCTGTGGACCCTTTGGGGTTCCATGTACCCTTTGCCTTCTGTAGTCTCACGCTGTCTAGCAGACCTCCCCAATGAATCAATTCTTTTATTTTAGAGTCGTGGGGTCCAAGTGAAGGTTTACTACTTACGTAGTTTGCATGCAGGTGAAGTTTGGGCTTCTAGGTGGTCCTGTCTCCTCCTGAGAGTGGACCAGGTACCCAGTGGGTTGCCGTGTACCCCCTCCCTCCAACCTTGACCAGCAGTGTAGAAGTGTCCCCTTTTCTCTCCAGCCATGCCAGCACCTGTTGTGTTTTGACTTGTTAACGGTAGCCACCGGATGAACTCAATTCAAACGTGCCGGAGAGATGGGCTTGTTGGTTTTCTACTGTGAAAGTCAGTGGCTCCTGTCAAGGCCAAAACTCTGTAGAGGTGAGAAATCTCACCCCGGTCTCACCAGCTTTGCTCTTCTCTTGCAGAGGTCCCGAAAACAGAACAGACTTTCGAAGAGCGCTTGATCCTCAAAGCTTTCTTGCTAAAGTTTGTCAATGCCTACTCCCCCATCTTCTATGTGGCCTTTTTCAAGGGGAGGTAAGTAGAATGGGGTCGCACATGGAAAGGGCGTTGCTCACGAAGACTGGGCCACCCACTGTCAGGACAAGTAGGGTCAGCCTGTCCCTATTGTCAGTTCACATCCTGGTGCAGACTTCATTGTTTTGGGGTTCAGAAGTGATCACACACCCATGCACACACACAGACACACACACTAGGCCTGGTCTCAGCCACTTCCCAGATCCCCTTTGCGCCCCGGAATTTGACTTGTTGAAGAAGTGGGGCCAGGCACGGTGGCTCACGCATGTAATTCCAGCAATTTGGGAAGTCAAAGTGGGAGTAGGGGTGGGGGACCGCTTGAGGCCAGGAGTTCGAGACCAGCCTGATCAAGATTCCATCTCCACAAAAGCAGTTTAAAAAAAATTACTCATAGCCTGTAGTCCCATCTACTTGGGAGGCTGAGGCGGGAAGATCACTTGAGCCCAGGAGTTCAAGACTTCAGTGAGCTGTGTTCATACCACTGCATTCCAGCCTGGGCAACAGACTGAGACCTTGTCTCTAAAGAAAAAAAAGGCGAACTCTAGGTGACATGGGTGGTCGCTGGCTGATAACAGACTGTGAGCTCCTGTCCCTGAGTGATCTAGCCCCGCCTTATTTCTTTTGAGGAGGACACTGGTGATGGCTGTTCCCCCAGAAGACGTGTCCTCAAGCAGCCCTGCACGTTCACCCTTCCCCTAACTCTTTCCGGGCTGTTTGATTTCAGGTTTGTGGGCAGGCCTGGAAGCTACGTCTACGTGTTTGACGGCTACCGCATGGAAGAGGCAAGTGTGGACCCTGGGCTTGGTCCCGGCTCATGTCTGTGGGTACAGGCCCTCCCCACCCAGTGTGGATTCCTCCGTGCCCTTGCTGTGCCGAGTTGCCCCCAGTCTCACCACTTTCTTTCTCTTCTCCTCCTGCAGTGTGCTCCAGGGGGCTGCCTCATGGAGCTCTGCATCCAGCTCAGCATCATCATGTTGGGAAAGCAGCTGATCCAGAACAACATTTTTGAGATCGGAGTCCCGTGAGTCTCACTGTCCCCTCGGCCCTCCCCTCGCTGCCAGGGTGACCCCAGCAGGGTCAGACTTTCAGCAGAATGTTCATGGCCTGTCCTCTTTCTAGATAGCTTGGTGATGGACTCCTCTGTGGGTTTGCCCATAACTTTCCTGGTGGAACAGCGTACCCACCCGGATCAGATCTGATTTGAGATGTTTGAGGCTTGGAAGGGTTTCCCGCTTGCTTAAGTGCATGTAACTAGGAAGTGGCGGAGCTGGGAGTCAGCTGTCTGGAACCCAAAGCGCCTAATGTTCTTAATGCTCTTTACCAATGAGTAGGTAAAAGAGACTTTCAATATGGTGGATAGATGGATTTGAAAGTTTGAAGCATCATGGAATCCCTTAGGAAAATCCCTGAGAAGAAAACGGGGAATATGTCATCTTAGGAGGGGAAGTTGCCGAAATGCAGAGTGGGTTGTTATGTGAGTTATCTTCCCTCTGGTTTTATACACGTTTCATAGAAGGACTTCTTTCAACTAGGTTTTGCCTTGAGATGGGCATGAAAATAAACTCAGACTCACAAGGTACTGGACCTAAAAGAAAAGAGGATGGAACAAGTTAAAATCTACTCATAGGTCAAAGAAAAATGGAACCCCTTTTCTTTTCTTTTCTTTTCTATTGCTTTGTGGTTTTAAAGAAGATTCCATTTCAAGGGACATTTTTGGCCAGTCCAGCATCAAAGAGCCAGGCAACAGCAGAGACGTTCAGGCCTAACTATAGGCTGGGCCAGTTCTCCTCAGGAGGACAGGATGGACAGTTTGTCTCAGGCCTGGGGTTCCGTGTAAACCACTTTATAGACTGACCATTCTGGGATGTCATTGTTAGACAGGCCCATAGGGCTAGTCAAAGATTCTTTGACATATGTAATCTCCCTCTTAGAGATTTACTATGCACATATTAATGGTTCTGAGAAGTCTTTCAATAAAGAAACTCATTTAATCCTTTCATTTTGCCCAAGATTCTTAGTTGCAGTCATAGAAAATCACTCTGGCTAGTTTAAGCAACGAAGGAATTTATTTCAGAATAGAGTGGCTGACAGAAAGCTATATTATTTAAGGGTCAGAGAGCCAGGCTCTGGGCTATATAATCAGGAACAATACTGTCCACACTGCAAGATGGCTTGCAAGGGAAACCACTGCCTCTACCTCATGACTTGTGGGACTAAGATACTAAAATAAAAACATATATGAAATGGTTCTTGTCTTCTCAAAGTTGGATTTCCCACTTGGGAGAAAAAATAGATTGCACATAACTGGGTGTTCTCTGTGTGGTGTGAACTCTATCAGAATTTATAGTAAAGGGGCTTGGGAGTAGTCAAAGAAAGCTTCAAAGGCAGAGAAGTTTCTTCCAGAAGACTGTTTAGATGAAAACCGCCACTGTCATATGTTACAGGATAGCCTGCCATTATTTTCTTTAAAGAAGTTCATTCATATATATATGGGACTCCAAAAAACCTGGAATTCATTCATACAAAACTATGTATTTATTCTCACATGTTTAAATTTCAGTCGCCTTCAATGTATTCTCCATTTGATGCAATACACCTATTAAGATGCTTTTTCCACTGCTCAAAACAGTTTTTGAACTCATCAGTTCTGATGCCTTTTAGTGCTTCTACCATTTTTTTGTTTCATTTCTTCCACATTGGCAAAACGTTTCCCTTTGAGGACTTTTTTCATCTGGGGGAACAAAAGAAATCCCTCAGGGTGAGATCTGGTGAATTGAGAGGGTATGGGACACAGAGATCATGCCATTTTTTGGTTAAAAACTGCTAAACACTCAGAGCAGTGTGGGCAGGTGTGCTCATAAATCACCCACCATGAAATGGGCAAAAGCATGGAAAGAATCTCCAAAAAGAAATTTCCTGAAGCCAAACACAGCCCCTCACAACAGGTTAGCTGGTACACTGATGCTGATGGATTCCTAGAACACTTACCTCATGGGGAAGCTGCAAGGGTCTCTCCCTCTGAAAGCTAATTTTGGTTTTTGGGGGGCTCTCCCTCATAGGTATATATGTATAAGTAGTATTACAAAGAAACAACAGATTGACTCTGGTCTTATCACAAGCACCTCCTGACTCCATGGGTGCTACAGATGGAGAGGGTGAAGCTTAAACAGATGGCAGTTCCCTGACCAGGGTCTTAGGGCATGTCAGGGACACGACAAAGGCAAGAGCCCAGAATCCCTCCAAATCTGTTTAAAGATGACGGAGTCCTAGTTTCCTTGGGTCTGATGGAACCACTAGAGGACATATAGTTCAAGCCTCCTTCTCTGTGTACAATTATATCACAGTCACTTGCTTCCGTGGGGGACTGTGTCTCCCTGAAAGGTCCCCAGAGAAAGTCAGTCTTTGGTCTTCCTCATAAATACATTTATAGAGCTAAAGTTAAAATGGAGAAAATTTAATTTACATGGAAAGAAACCCCCTTTTAATGAGAGCCCTACCTCAAGGAATGTGAATTCTCGGTCATCCCTTAGAAGGCTGTGTCATAAGTCTCCAGAACGGGTCTCAACCTCATATACCATCAACTTCTGCCCACATCCTGGGACAGCCGTGGGTAGCACTTGAGCATGAGCTTTTCTTGGAGGAGGCTTGGCGGAAGCATCGGTGCGTGGGACCCTCATCTCACCTCCCTGTTTCTATCAGCCTCTAGTCATCAGTCAGAGAATCATCAACCTGGAGGAACTCAACCCTCTGAAACGGTGCCCTGTTCCCTGCTTTCTGATTTAGTCAAGCAAAGCTAGCGAAGCAGATGACCCTTGTTCACTACGAGCTTACCATCTCAAAGAGATGTGTGTCATGGACAAACATCCAGAAGATACACAGATGGTACCAAAGCCACAGATGGCCCCTTTGAAGCTACAAGACCAGCCCCTCCACAACCACTACAAAGGAAAGGCCTCAGCCCCATCAAACATCTGGGGAAGACACCTGAACATTGTTATTCTGCCCTGGGTAGAATGGTTTACAGCTTGTGGGCATGAGACATCCATTTTGTCATGCTCGGACATCTGGTCTACCATTTAGCCCATTCTCCCAGGACCCAGGACCCTTTTACAGAGCGTAAGAGAGGCAAGAATTTGGGCATGTGTTTGGACAGTGCGTTGGCATGTCCTCACCCCTCAACTGTACCCGCTCCGCAACAGATGAAAATAACACGTGGCTGTTTGCCCTGAAGGCTAAATTTTCTTGTTTATGACTGAAGTGTGTTTAATACTTTGAGTGTTTAAACATGTGCCATTCTTTAATCCATGGCAATTGCACAGTAACTCATAAAACCATGGGCAAGCCACTTCTCTAAGTCTCACTGTCCTCACCTTTCGATGAAGTTGGTGGCATTCTATTCATCAGTAAGGGGCCTTCCAACTGTGACATTCCATAACTTCTCTTTAGTGAATGAAGCTGGTCACTGCTGGTACCCAATACCAGTCACTTCTGTTTCAAAAGATGCTTCCTTATTTCAGTGTCTGGTCTGCTAAAAGACACATACATCATAATTATGTAGTCAAATTCAGGAAGGGATATAGAGCAAAAATGTTTCTATCAAATCCTAGGGTCTTTTATTTGCGGAGTTCTTTGTAATTCTATTTTGAGTTTGGTCACATGAAATCCCTGTTATTGTGATTACTGGATCTTCCACTCCCTCCTCAGAGCCTACTCTCAACAAATTGGACCCTTTCTACCCAGAGTGCAAGCACCAGGCTATATCCTTGTCCTATCCTTATGACACAGTTGAGAAACATGAAATAACCAGAGGGGGAAAAAAAAAGTCTTTCATGGTAAAAAAAAAAATGACAGTTGAGTCTGACGGTGAGGAAGGAGTCATGTAAATGATAAAAACTAGACCCACTAGTCTTTAATGCATCCGTAGGACAGAGATTTGGGGGCCTAACAGATCTGGGTTTAACCAGGCTTAACACTATACTCACTGCATGACCTTGGGAAAGCTATTCTAGAAAGACTTCCATCTAACATGAAAAAGACGTTTATATGTAAACAAGCAAATTGGACAAATGCTCAGCTATCGAGAAAATTAAAAAGATATAAGCATCTGAAAAAGGAAGAACCATTCTTGGGGCTTCTGGGTAGCCAAGATTTCACTGTGTAGCATTGGCTTTTATATTTAAAGGAGATGCTTCCTAAGTGTTACAAGTCCAGGAAGTGCAGCTGTGGAGACTAACTCAGATTTGTCTCTTCTGGTCTTGACTCAATGGCTTTTTGTCCTCGGTATAGCTCTTAGGTAACTTCAGAGCCTACCCCAAACTCTTTTCCCCAGGGAGATAAATATCAATCAAAGGGCTAGATTTGATTTTTAAAAAGAGAAGCGAGGTTGAAGAGTTAGGTAGGTGGATTATGCTGGATAAGAATACTGGGGGTAAAAAATATGATAAGTATATACAGTTATAAGATTTATCACTTTCAGTTCATTGTCTACTTCTGAAAGCAATTTTCTAAGATTTTTCCAAATAAAATGTTTAACTGTTTAAGACTATTTTATTAATAGGCCAGATAGTTGGCTGTAATTTCTCTCTCTCCCTGAGGGTGCAACATTCTTATTGGATTCTGTGTTTGCATGTGCATGGATGTATGTTGAAAAGTGCCCTGTTGATGGCCTTGAGACTCTTACACAGTCTAGCAGATTTCTTGAGTTAGAACATCGTTTCTCAGTCTTCAGTCATTTATGAACCAACTGTTACATTTTACCCCCAAATGTCCCCAAGCTACTTTTTGCATATTAGTTTCCTCTAAACCGATTCACTTTTTACTTAAATCTGTAACATTTCTGAAACGGAAAACTGGAATTATCAGTTTCCATAAGTAGCAAATAGTGAAAAGAAATATAACAAAAAGAAAATATTACAATACAAGCAGTGGTGTTGTTTTCTCTCCAGGCTCTGAGCCTAAGATCTGCATTCTCTCTGTTAAAAAGGAAGACATACAGCCTCGGAAGCTGTCAAAGGCATACCG